TTTATTTTAAATTCTTATGATAAATTGATTAGTAAAAGATAATAATTAAATTTTATTTATTTATATTAAATATATTAATTATATAAGAATAAAATTATTATTCATGAATTTAAAAATTATTCGAATATTTAATTTTATTATGATTAATGCTTATAATATATTTTAGATTTTATCAAATTTTTAACTAAAAATTTTAATTTTATTATAATTTAATAATATTATACAATTTATATATTTTAAAATTAAATAATATTAATTTATATTTCTATATATATTTATTTAAATAAATAAAAATGATTTATGCACCTCATACGCCAATAGCAAGGTAATTAACAATAGAACAGCTCAAATCTATCAGCAAACGTCACCATTATAATCAAAGTGTCCATACATGAAAGCTTGTGCTCTGTTTCTCTCTCCTTCTGATTTTGCCAAAATGGTCCAAATTTAAATATGGGCGTTGCAGAGCACTCTGATAATTGCCCGTGAATCCACTCAGAAAATATCTATTTCCTCTCGATTCTCTCACCCCAAATGTGCCAGAAACGTACTCGAGAACCCATCTTCTACTTTCTGCTGCACTCTCTTATTTATCTGTCATAATTTTTTTTTCTTATTAGCCAAACCAAAGGCCCTGATTAACTGGGTTTTTCAGGCTCTTTTACGCAACCATCCCAGCTTCCTGATCTTCTTCACTTACCGTCTAAAATCTGGACTACCCTTCACTTCCTTATAGTGAAAGAGAAAATAAATGGGTAATTTTGAATTCTTTGTATCTTTATTTCTTCTGTTTGTTGTTGTTGATAGGGTTTTGCCAAGAGCAGAATCCAAGACGTACTGGGGAGATATAGAGGTGTTGAAACAACTGAAAAATGGAGTAGACCCGAAATCGGTGAGTCCAGGTTCATGCTTGAGTTCCTGGGATTTTACAGTAGACCCATGTGACAACCTCTTCGGTGAAAGATTCACCTGTGGTTTCAGGTGCGACCTTACAGTTTCTGGGTTAAGCCGAGTAACGGAAGTTAGTCTTGACTCGGCTGGTTATGCTGGTTCTCTCTCTTCTGCTTCCTGGAATCTCCCTTACTTGCAAACCCTTGACCTCTCGTACAATTTCTTCTCCGGATGGATTCCAGGGTCACTCGCCAACCTGACTCGGTTAACTCGACTCGGTCTTTCAAGAAATACGTTATCCGGTGAGATACCTTCCTCGATTGGATCGTTGTCTAGCCTTGAAGAACTGTACCTCGATAACAACAACTTACAAGGCCCTCTTCCTGCTAGTTTCAATGCTCTTGTTAGCTTGAAAAGGCTCGAAATTCAATCAAACCACATCTCTGGTGAGTTACCCGAGTTGGGTTCAGTCAGAAACCTGTATTTTCTTGATGCAAGTAACAATGCCATTTCTGGGTATCTCCCTCCAACGCTGCCACCTTCTTTAGTCCAGGTTTCCATGAGAAACAACACGATTGAAGGCAGGATCCCTCAAAGTCTTAAATATTTGAGCTTTTTGCAAGTATTGGACCTGAGTCACAACAAACTCACCGGCTCAGTCCCTTATTTCCTCTTTAACCACCCATCTCTCCAACAACTCATTCTCGCATTCAACTCCTTCAATTCTGTACAATCTCCCTCTAATCTAGGCACCCAAAGTGAGCTTATTGCCGTTGATTTGAGCAATAACGAGCTCCAAGGCTGGTTACCTCCTTTCTTGTCATTAATGCCAAAGCTGTCAGCTTTATCCCTAGAAAATAACAAGTTTTCGGGTATGATCCCAGCCCAGTACGCATTGAAAACGGTTCTACCTGGATCCGGAATTGCCCCGTTTGCAAGGCTTTTGCTTGGAGGGAACTACCTGTTCGGACCAATTCCAGGGCCTTTACTGTTACTCAAACCAGACACTGCTAATGTTAGCATTGCTGACAACTGCTTGATTAGGTGTCCATTGCGTTTCTTTTTTTGCCAAGGTGCAGACCAGAAATCTTTAATGGAATGTAAGAGATTTAGTCCTGCAATCCCTTGAATTACAGCAACGGTTTTTTTAGTAGAAATATTGATGTGTTTCTTCCTCGACTATTTTTTTTTCTCTATTTTTCTAGTTGGTCTGTTAGTTTTCAGCTTGTTAGTGGGAAATCCAAAAATCTTTTCAAGCTAATGGACTTAGTAATCATGGGAAAAAGGTTCTAAAACGGTAAACATGACCAAATCGAATAAAATGTACTAGATGTTTTTGTCTATTCTCTGACAAATGGATGTTTTTCTCACGTGGTCTTATGGGGCATGGGGTATACGCACATGAAAAAGATGGAACTTTTGGATCCTACTTGTCCTCTAAATCCGAGGCTTATCAGATGGGCTCAGATCACAGCCTACCTTTTTCGGTTTATTTATGCACATTTTGGTCCGATTAGGGCCTTATTTCACGATTTTGTGGCTTGGGTTGATAAATTTGATTGGTTTGAGCTATATGTTTTGTAAGACAAATCTGCCTTTGATAAGGAACATGGGTTCAAGAAACAAAGAGAGTTTCCCTTTCTTGTAACCCAATAATTCAACCAAATAAACTTTAGTTCACGATCAACAGAGGAATCAAAGATGTAGAGACTTTCTCTTCCACTGTGATTTTGTAGGGAAATGGATAACCTAAAAGGCACAGTCCAAAGTACATGTCCAGACATGGTATTTCTTTCTCTTTTTTTCCTCCTCTGTTGTGCTTACAACCATGAAATAGAGAACTATACTGGAGGAGGAAAAAATCATCTAAGTTTTTTTTTCTTCTTTATAACAATCAATGAAGCCGTTGAAATTGTACAAGTTTAATTCCAGTGAATGAAGCAAAGCTATGAATATCCAAGTCAATGCAGTGGAGTCCAAAACTGTTGGTGAAAAACATTTAATGGTTTGCAGCAGCCGAAAGTGTTTCACCTCCACTTCGGTTATATTTAAATGTATCTTGAGCTCGAAGAGCAATAATATGTATTTTGTCCATTGGACCCTACTTTAGTCTCTGGACTGAACGTCAGAACTTTTGCCTCTTTCGGTTATCTGGCCTTAAAGAAGCATGAAACTCCTTAAAAAACTTTGTGCAACCTCTACTTTTTTTTTTTTTTTTTTAAAGTGCAAACTCTACTCTAGATATTTCCATATCGATTCCTAATTAGTACTGTAATTTATAATTGGTGAGTTGTGACATTATAATATGACCATTTATTATCTTAACATATTGCAATTTCTATATTCTTCCTTGTAAACTGCCTAACTTCACGAGATTCATCGGCAGGGGCATAAAAATCAGTTAACAGTTTTTGTAATAGACAATAAATGCTTATGAGAATGGAGCCCGTGAATATTATCACAGGATCAGGTCCCACTCCTATTTAAAATGGTAGTAGTATTGTATTATTCATTTTGACACAAGTGGGCTGGGCCTAGACAAAAGTGGGGATCAAGAGTCTGCTAACACACTACAATTACTTTTCCTTGATCCTTCATTCAAAAGCTAAAGCTGAGCTAAGCAGTTGGTCATCAATCATCATGCTTCACGGCTTCTGTTTATAAAAATAGACAAGCTGCTTAAAATATAATAAGTATTTATGTTGCTTAAGATCCAAAAGATTTGGTAAATCTTCCAGGTTGGCCAGGCAGGAATTTCATTCAAAGCATTTTTAAAAGGCTGATATTGTATATTGCAATTGGCTCGAAGTGCCCATATCATGGTAACGGCATGATATCCGTTACTATTCCTTCACGAAATGCGGATTAATCACGTGGCAGCAGTGTTTTCAACATCTACCAATTCTGCCTACTTGCCTCACAATCAAGAGTATATAAGTTTGGACCTTCAGGTTTATGATCACAACCATCAATGGAGATTTCTGTTCATAACAATATCTTTTCTCTTCTTCTTTTGCTCTTACTGTCACTCTCTTTCTCACCACCTGTGTTTGAGGCGTGCAATGCAGTGGACAAAAAAGCATTACTTGGATTCAAGCGCAGCATCACAACTGACCCTTCACAACTGTTGCAATCATGGATATCTTCATCTGATTGCTGCACCTCCTGGAATGGGGTTGCTTGCAATTCTGCAGGGAGAGTGGTCAATGTCACACGTCCAGGCCTTTTCTCGGACAATGACAACATTGTGGATACATTCATGAATGGAACTTTATCCCCTTCCCTTGGGAATCTATCGTTTCTTCAAGTTCTTGACCTTAGCAATCTCAAAAACCTAAAAGGATCAATACCACCCGAATTTGGCAAGTTAACGCGACTTACTCTTCTTTTTCTTGATTCAAACCAGCTTAAAGGGTCGATACCAGTGACATTCAAGCACTTATCTCGGCTGGAAAAGCTTTACCTTAGCAACAACCATATTTCTGGTATTATACCTTTCTCTGTTATTGGATCCTTAAAAACACTCACCGAGCTAGGTCTTTCAGGAAACCAACTGAGAGGAACAATTCCTGCAACAATAGGCAAGTTGGTTTTTCTTACAAAGCTAGATATTCATGCTAACAATCTTTCTGGTAGTTTGCCTACGACTATTGGCAAGCTTAAGAGCCTCAAATATCTTGACTTATCTGAAAATCAGATAACAGGCAGCATTCCTAAATCCATTGGTGGACTTTCAGCGTTAGTACTTCTATATCTCAATCAAAACCTGATTACAGGAAGCATCCCTTCTTCAATTTCGGGTCTTATCTCTCTGCAGTTTTGCCGCATATCAGAAAACGAGTTGACAGGAAATTTACCTCCTTCCATTGGCGAGCTCCCAAGTATTCAGAGGCTAATTCTTGATAACAACAAGCTAACCGGGAAACTACCAGCTACAATGGGCCATCTTGTCACTCTCACTGAAATGTACTTATCGAACAACCGTTTTACAGGCAAGATTCCCTCAAGTTTCGGCAATTTGCAAAACCTTCAAACACTGGATTTATCAAGAAACCATCTCTCTGGTAAAATTCCTACTCAGCTGGTCAAATTGCAGAACTTACAGACATTGGATCTGTCATTTAATCCTCTAGGACTAATTAGCATACCAAAATGGTTTGCTAAGTTGAAAGTTTTTCGGCTTATATTAGCAAAAACTGGGATTAGAGGGTCACTTCCAAGGTGGTTGTCTTCTACATCCATTTCCACTCTAGATTTATCGGGCAATGCTTTGACAGGAAAACTACCGCCTTGGATTGGGAATATGACCAGCCTTTCTTTTCTCAATTTATCAAACAATGGTCTTCACTCGTCAATCCCAGCTGAATTCAAGAATCTTAGGCGTCTAATGGATCTTGATCTCCATTCAAACAAGTTCTCTGGTCACCTGGATACAATTTTCTTCAAAAAAACTGATGACCCTTTAGGCCATTTTAACTCTATTGATCTTTCTGAGAATATGTTCAATGGTCCTATTAGTGAATCCGTTGTACAGAGCCCAGCAATGAATTCTATAACATCACTTGTTCTGTCATATAATCCACTAAAGGGATCAATACCAAAATCCTTAGGAAAATTGAGTGAGCTGCAAATCCTGAAGCTGGTAAGTAATGGACTTTCAGGGAAGATACCGGTGGAGCTTAGTGATGCCAAGGAATTGAACACAATTTTGCTTTCAAGGAACAAGCTCATTAGTAGTATCCCAGGGAAGGTGATCAATTTGAAAGAACTCAAGGAATTTGATGTATCGCATAATCAATTAAGTGGCCAGATTCCGCCCCATACAGCCACAATCCCTGCACCTGCATTTATTGATAATCCAGGCTTGTGTGGTGCCCCTCTTCCACCTTGTAAACATTCATAGTATTTTCACAAAGAATATTTTTTTTTAGTTTTCTTAGAATTCATTCATTGCTATTTACATGATTAGTTGCATTTCTTATCATCTCTTATTCCTTTGTCTTGTAATTGTAAGTTCATGGTCTTTTCAATGGAAATATTGTGGTGTTGCTATAATTTTCAATAGAACTATTTGGTCTTAACGGCTGTGTGCTTTCAACTCTATCCATCTCAAGTCCCAATCCATGCCACTATACTACTTTGTGTGGAGTATGAGGACCTACATTTTCGTTTCTTTCCTAAGGAGTGAAGACAGAATATGAAAAACCAAAAGTGAATGGTCCATCCCTGCTCTATAGCAGAAATATGGATAAAAATCCCATTACTCAAAACTCCATTGTTCCCCCATTTCTTTCCTCATCGCCTTAAAGTCTTGAACTAATATATGAATAGACTATCGTTAGTTCTTTTTTTTTTTTCCTTTATTTTTTGGCTCAGAGCCAACTATCATTAGTTCTCAGATTTCATTGTCAGAAGAAATACGATTAGTATACTGACAAGGAAAAAAACCCGTTAGAGATAGGTATCTTTGGCAAGTTTGAATTTTATATGGAGGCACTTGTGTCAATTTGTATCATACTCGTTATCTAGTGTCAAGGATGAAAAAAAGCTGTTTTCTAACGGCTACAGCTCCCACCGAAGGCTTTATTTAGTATTTATTATTCGAAACCGGTATAATCATTCGGGATACTTGTTTTACTAACTACAGACACTTTAGTCCACATGAATAGAGCAACGGGCAGATCCTTGAATTTGGACAAATTGTCTAATCACAGACATAAAATGTCCAAAATTTTGTCTTCTAACGAAGTTTAAGACAGTGAGATTTCAGACTGCCAGAGCATTTTTAAACTGCTCCAAATTACAGGTCCACAGCCCGAATAGCCTTGCCAAAAATTTCCCTTACTTTGACACAATTAGTGATGTTCTTCATTTATTTTCCTGGAAAAATAATAGGTAGCCCAATCTCTTGCTCTAGCTAATATACTCCTGTGGAAGCTAGAGTTATGAATGACTAATTAGGCGAGGAGATTAAGGATAAAGGATAAGACGCGTAACAGATAAACTAAATTTATTCAGATAACCAACCAATGATTACTTATTTATATGCATGCCTGGAGAGCACCTTTGTTTTTAAATCCATTATGCCGGCACACTTTAGAAAAGTGAGAATAAGGTCAAAAGCTCAAAAGGGTCATTTCTTTCTATGGTTGTACTGGTTTATTCAGTTGGAAAAGTGCTGGATCTGTGCTCAGGATTCAACAAAATAAAATATTCCAACTACAATGGGGTGTTGCCCGAATCGAACTCACGACCTCTTGAACCAGACCAAACACCCTTCAATACGACCACTCATGTTGATTGAATTTGTGTTGGTGTCGACGGTGATTGCAGACAGAGAGAGCTAGCTAGCTACCTGCAAATTTAATTATTTATATCGGCTGTCATCATTTTACTAGTTAGATTGGTAACTGTAACTATCACCAGCTAGTTTCATCATGCTTAAATTAAATTTGTAGAGCTGGGAAAGAAAGGCATGTTGTTTCTTAAAAATTGCAAGTGGTTGAATCTTGTTTGCAGATAAGCTGATGAACTGCAATTATACCTTTAGTATAATTCTTAAAATCTTTGTTAAGAACATTCATCGGAGCCTTTATTTTGCTTGATCAAAATCATGATGGATGAACAGCATGTTTATCCTCAATTCGTCTTGTCATAATGCTTGGAGACAAGCCATAATCAGATCCCCGATCAATGCCATTATTGAAAGTGAGGAAAGGTAGGCCATTTCTCAACAAGTATTGGAATTATTTTACATTCCATATCCCTCAGGTATTTTGCTAATTTTTGCAAATTGGGCAGGAAATGCAAATCTTACATATAGTCTGTAATCATGCTAAATAAATTCCCACAACAAAGTAATAAAAACAGTCGTTTTTTTTTTTTTCTTTTATAAGCTGGATGCACATTCCAGTGATAGTTTCCTTCTTTTGTGTGCCTTTGGCCCATTAATTGTTACTCTCAGCCGCAATTGTTGCATGCCATTGCCCTCCCAGGTTTACTTTTCCAGAGGTCAGGCTCGCTCTCTCTCTCTCTCTCTCTCTCTCTCTCTCCGGATTGACTCAAATCTCCTAAGTTTTTTTAATATAGATTTATTTTATATAGAATTGATTCAATATTATTTAATTAATAAAAAGACGTGTAAAAAAAAATTTTAAAAGTAAAAAGATTTTTTATAAGTAAATTAATATATTTATAAATAGATATAGTATTTATAACTTTAAGTAAAATATATATATATCAAAGTCATAAAATTTTATAAAATAACTATTAAGTAAAATTAAAGAAAATTGAAAGAGTTTTTATAAGTGTGTATGTTTGAGTGGAATAAAAAAAAATAAAAAAATTTACGTAAGTATAATAAGTTATATAGATATGTATTTATTTAATTAAAAATATTTTATAATATTAGAGAAAAATAAAATGGTTCATGAGTAAATTGTGAGTTTTGATTGGTATGATTATATAATTGTAATTTTTTATAATTAATAAATCTTTTCTTTCAATTATAGATTTGAATTAATTGGATTGAATTACATTAAATTATTATTTATTACTTGTTTGATTGTTTAAGTAATTAAAAACATTTTTTTCTACCAACTGAAATCAAAACTATGATGATCCTGCCTCTCTCTTGTTGGACCAGAATCACTCAATATTTCTAAGTACTCATGCTTTAAAAGTAAAGGGAGCAAACCAACTATAAAAATGTAGAACTTAACACCAATGCAAACTGGGGCATGCATATATTTCAATTTTGTTTATTGCCAAAGCAACACTTAATCATATTATATGTGTATATATACACACACATATAATTTAATATAGACACGAAATAAGATACGAAAATGATATAAATTAAAATTTTAATAAAAATTATATATAAATTTAATAAAAATAAAAAATATATTTTATATTTTTCATATTAATACGAATTATTATATATAATTTTCGTATAAAATATAATATAAATACATAAATTATCTATATTTTATACATATATACATATCGTCAGTACTATTACAAGTATCAGCCATGAATTTAGCAATATTCCCTTCCAATGTCTCGTGTTAATTACTTGTCTCAACTTCCTAAAACATTGTTTTTGAAATCCCATGCAATTAATGTTAGAGACATGTCCAGAATCTAACAGAAAAACTTTCTGTCAAAGCCGATACAGAATGAAATCTAAAAATATCATCAGAAACATGGGAAATAAGAAGATAATTTCATTTTATTAGGTCAGATAATTCAGAAACCAGACACACTAGAAGCATTTTTCCTAATTAAAGCCCTTACAAACTCCATTCTTTTTACCAACTAACTACTACAATGACACCAACCACCAAACAATGTTGCAATTTTGTAAGACCCAAAATGAAACCTGGAAATTTTTCTGGTTTCTAGTAATGTGATACAGTGCTTTACATGATCTAATGATCATGGGATAAAACGTCTGACCTGATGATCATCACCATCCTCAAAGTTGAAAAAAATTAAACCGAATTGGTATATCAATGTTGGTGATTCCCAAGGCATGAAAAATCGTATTGTATGGTGCAGAGAGAACAAAGCAAATTGCATAGCTTCGGGACCCGCTTCTTGTTCAGTTTTTAGCCATTTGTTGTGTTTGTGCCATGCATGTGACTGCTCCGAAACCTGTGATGTTCGTTTTCCCTCCACGTGACACTCCCATGGCTTTTCCCCTTCATCCCATGTTCCTACCTGATATCGACACGTGTCACATATACCCCGTGATCTTCTTCTTTTAGTGATAGTTTGATCATCATGGAAAAAGGTTTTGAATTTTCGAAACGATTTTTGCGTTGTACGTAAACAATGTTCTCATCCACATGCGTTTGCGTCATTATACCAAAAATATTGAAGTACGTGGTGGAAGAAAAATGTTTTGACGGAAATTGAGATTCCTTCCTTTCATGCCAGTAAATTTCGGCAACAGTAGTTATTTGTTTTTGAAATAATACCATGAATCGTCGTTAATTAGTGAAGTGAAATATTTACTGTCATATTTGAACTTTAAAATTTTATTTCAATTATAAATTTATTAATTAATATAATAATTAAATAATTATTTATTTATTATATATAATTATTTAAAATTAATCACATTAAAAATAAAACTTACATTAATTTTTAAATTTATAATTCAAATATTATATTAAAAAATTTTAAATTTAAGTTTCATATAAATCAAACAATTTATTATAAATTAAAAATCATTCATGACGTTAACCTTTTATATTTCCTTTGCTTTGGGTGACCATAAAATACTTATCCATTGATGTCCTTACCCATAAAATTATTATTGAATTAAAATGCATGAAATTATCAAACTTGTCCAAAAATTAGATTATTTGTCTGAGTCTGCAGATCCATCCCATATTTGGGAAGGCATGGTCAAATATAAAATCCGAAAAATGAGTTTGCATATAAAAAAAATGTGATCCATTTAAAAACTAAGTTAAGTTTTGACTCCAATATTTAAGGTCTTAACTTAATCTGATCAATTTGTTTTCTTCAATGATATGAATATAAAACTTTTATATTTTTTTGATGAATTATCATTCTTACATTTATATGTATGATGTAATTTATATCATATAAAAGAGAATTATATATAATATTGCATTGTAAATATTAAAAATTATGATATATTTTAAACTTAGTAAAAAAGTAAATTACTAAAAATTAAATAAAAAAATATGATTTTATTTTCAATTTTTTTGAAAAAAAAGAATTTAACAGGTCTAAACTAAATCATTTATAAATTTGAATAAAATTTGAGATTCGAATTATTTAGCTAGGTTGGATTATGACAAACTTATATTGTATTCATGTCATGTCTAAACATGATTTGAACTTGATCTGGCCTGTCCATGGACGCCTCTATTATCAGTTAAAGTCGAACAAATTCAAGCTTGAGGGATGCTGGGACAAACAAATATAAATATTTGAAGTTTTGTTCATTGAGTTGAGTTTAATTTGTTTTACAAG